GGAGAAGACGAAAGTAGGTCGAGGAGGAGGAGAGAAGAAGAAGAAGACGAGAGGAGGAGGAGGAGGAGGAGGACAATAAAGAAAACCAATGAAATCGGGACGAGGAGGAGGAGGAGGAGGAGGAGGAGGAGGAAGAAAATGGAAGAAGACGAAAGGAGGAGTAGGAGGAGGCGGAAAATAGAAGAACACGAAAGGAGGAGGAGGAGGAGAAGGAGGAGGAGGAGGAAAGAAGAAGCTGAAACGAGGAGGAGGAGGAGGAGAGAAGAAGACGAAAGGAGGAGGAGGAGGAGAGAAGGTGAAAGGAGGAGGAGGAGGAGGAGGAGAGGAGAAGATGAATACGAAAGGAGGAGGAGGAGAGGAAGAAGAAGATCAAGAGGAAGGAAAGAGGTGGAGGAGGCTTCACCACGATGGCGACAAAAGCTTCAAGGGCAGCGACGACGGGGAGGGCACGGAGAGCAACGGCAAGCAGCTCGACGAGGAGGAGCAGCAACGACGTGCGGGCTTTGCAACAGCAGCAACTATGTGCGGGCTTCGCGACGGCAACGACGATGGGCGACTTCGCAATTGCAGCAACAACGAGCTTCGCAGTGGGGAATATCGTATTCGAATTTGAACGTGGCGTCGTAGCCCGCCAGAGGGGGAACCCATTTCTTGTCGGTTGATCTCAGTCGCTGATCTTTGCAGATCGGCGACTAAGATCAGTCGTCGAAGAAGACCTTCCCACCCTTTTAAAACTAGTCATAGATCAAAGCCAAAAAAAAACATGCGTTGCTGGAGGATGGGGGGCCGACCACTGGGCCGAAAAAGGCCTCCCCCCCCACGTACGTGAAATTGCACTGGGCATGCTTGACCACAAACCGGGGGACCCAACCGGTCGGGCCATCCGGGACCCCTGCCAGACGAAGGCCAGGCCACCGAACGGTCCGGAGTTTAACATAGAGAAAACCCCACCTATTTCATATTGTTTTTTTTTTTCTTTCTTTTATGTTTTTGTTTTTTTTGAAATATAGAAAACTTCACAAAAATATCTACAACCCTGTAATTTATTTATTTTGTTGCTTATTATTTTCCGGGGAAAAAAATATCCCCGCGGCCGCTCAAAGCTCGCTCAAGCGCTTTTCAGCGCGGGATTAAGCAGAGCTCAAAATTTTGAGCTTGGACCCCACGCTCAATCAGCACGCGGTAATGTAGTTGTCACTCAAATCAGGTAGACGCTGACTCTGTGTGTGTGTGTGTGTGTGTGTGT